ATTTTTCAGAGCCTCGGAGAGGCCGGACAGTGAGCGAATTATAGATGTCAACCGTTTATCTGGCAGAATTCACACCATAGATCAGGGAGGTAGGGAGTACACCTTATCAAGCGGCTGCATTAACCAGCTCGCCTGGGCCAAGCCATTACCTCGCCCGCGGTTTCGGACGACTCAACTCGCATTTGTTTTTGTTTTTCAAGCCCACTTGAAAACAAAAAAAAAACTAAAATTGTTATAACGCTATTAAAAAGCACCGTGAAATTAATATGTTCAAACGAGGCGCTAAGAATACCCTAGTGAGGTGATGCTAGCAGCTAGGATAGAGGCGGCGGCGACGGCTTGGTCGTGTTCGGACGGTGGCGGCTGGTGGCAAGGCACATTAACGCTAAATGTCAAACATTTTAGCCCCCAAGCCACCTGCAGATTTATATGGGCGGCTGTTTATATCTTTATTCTCGGCCTTATGGGCAGTTTAGATTTGTGGGCGGGTGGGCGGTCGGGTGGGTGGCATGCTACCCGTCCGTCTCTTGTACGTTGAGAACGTGTTGCTCTGTACGTTCTTGTGACGCTCCTCTGCCAGACGTCTCCAGCCCGTTTATCCATTAAAGGTCACCCCTCGAGGGAGGTGCCTTGATGCTGGCGAGGGGCTCTTGATCTGAAGAATTGGAGCTGCCCTCTCTCTCTTCGGATCAAGCCTTAGTTACCCCTCCATTCCTTAGGCACTACATGACCCATGCGGATTTAGTGCTTCCCGTGACACAACAGCAACTACTACTATACAATTATTATTATTACTATGCTATTATTATTATTACTATTATTGTTACTACTACTACTACCAATATTTTTACTATTTCTACTACTATTACTTCTAATACTATTACTACTACTACTACTACTACTACTACTACTACTATTATTACTACTACTACTACTATTACTACTACTATTATTATTTTTATTATTATTATTATTTATTATTATTACTACTACTACTATATTACTACTACTACTATTTATACTACTACTACTCTATTACTACTACTACTATACTACTACTACTACTACTATTATTACTACTACTACTTACTATATTACCATTACTACTACTACTACTATTATTACTACTACTACTACTATTACTACTATTTACTACTACTACTATTATTACTACTACTACTACTATTACCACTACTACTACTACTACTACTACTACTACTACTAGTATTACTACTACTACTAGTACTGCTACTATTACTACTACTACTACTACCATTATTACTACTACTACTATTGCTACAACTAACACTAACAGTAATAGTAGTGACACCCACAACAGTTACGTGACTGTTGTGGGTGGCATCCTGGGGAAGAGAGTACCCATTGCTTGGCTTTCCTTCGGGGGGGGGGGAAGGGAGGGGTTGACCCAGGATTATTAACCCTTCAAAGGTTAATCCTCCAGGTTAATAACCCTGAAAAAAATAATTTTCACCCTTGAGTGCGGGTGTAGAAGGCGGCTTCTGAAAATAAAAACGCTGATTAAGAACTGGAATAAAAACCACGGCTATCACATGAGATTTTGCTTTTCATTTATCTCCGATCAACCGGGCTGTGGCCGGACGCTGGATTGCGTGCGGCCGGCAGTAACAGCCTGGTTGATCAGGCTTTGATTTACCGCGAGGAATGGTGGAGGACCGGGCCGCGGCGCGGGGGGCGTTGACCCCGGGAACGACCTACTTGGAGTTTACGTGGAGGAAATTCCGGGGATCAACGCCCCCGCGGTCCGGTCCATGACCAGGTCTGGTGGATCAGGGACTGATCAGACTTTTATAAAGACAACGTTTCGCCCAGAAATACATTATTTTTTAAATAAAAAGGATGAATGTAAATTTAATACTTTTTGTATCTCGAACTCATTTAAAATTAAATCATATGTAAAATTTTCTCTTATACGATTAAAGACATATTTTTTTCATTTATGTTAATGTAAAAATTAATATTTTTGTACCAAAAGAACCTTAGAAAACTTACCTAACCTTATAACAAGCTCAATTTAATTTAGCCTAATCCAACTAAATATATTGTAGATAAGTTTACAATAATTTAATAATAAACAAACACAATGAAATATATTTTTTTCGTTAGGTTAAAAATATTTTTTGCGAGATTATTACATACACAAATTTTCGCTTACGTTATTAGCCAAGATGAACGTTGCTATTTAAGACAAAATCTCAAGTTTTACCCATTCGGCATTATATATGTATATATTTCATTGACAGATATATGGATATAAATATATACATCCTACGATTTTCCCATCTATGTTATTTACACCATGTCGGTTCATTACCCGAGTCATATATATCTAAGTAATTTTCTCTTCTATTTTTCCAGTCTATTATATTGGTATTTTTTAATTTCTTCGTTCTAACCATATCTCGTTGCTGGTGTTGTTTTAGTATTGCTGTATATATCCTTTTTCTCTAACTGGGTATAAATAACTTTGATAAATTAGACACATGTGCAACTCTTGGGTATCTTTATTGAGGAAACGTTTCGCCACACAGTGGCTTCATCAGTCCATACAAAGGAGAATCTTGAAGAACAGGAGTAGAATGAGGTAATCAGTCCCTCAACCTTGAGTCGATGTGGTCAGTCCATCAATCTTGAATAGAATAGAATAGAATAGAATAAATAACTTTAATTTGAAGTTTTTTATACTTTCTAACAAATAAAAATCCACTGTAGATGGTTGTTTTCTTCCTTCACTCTAACTGATTACTGAATATTTTGGCATGTGGGTTTTTCATAATGTAAAATAAAAAAAATCCAACCAGCCTCACTAATCTTTCACCAGATCTATTTAGAATTAATGTTCCCCAGTTTTTAGTATATCGGTGAAAATGTAATGAGCATCAATCATCCTAGAAGATCATTGACATCAAGATTCAATGATACAGCATCACAACATCCAACATGGCTTCCTCGGGTACAGCACAGTAATTCCATCCCTAAAACTCATTTCTGGATAACAGGGTCTCCTGAATCCAATCAAAATTCAAACTGGACATCAGATAAAAAGAGAAAATGTCTCTACTCCGCTGTGAACACACCCCACACACACACACACCACACACACACACACACACACACACACACACACACACAAAACACCAAAAGCAAACACATACACACACACACGCCTACTGGGTGTTCAAGCCCATAACTGTTGAAACTGACTCCACAACATACACACTTCATACCCTTCCACGGAGTGTCCTTCCATCTACCATCTACTCAAGATTTTTTCATCCTCACAGGCAACTTCCTCTATTTGTTCTTCATGGCCAAACTCTCTTACCGATCCTTCGTTCGCTCTATGAATTATTTCTTTCGTGTCTACTCTATTTTCTAATTTCTGTGCTTCATATCCTCCGATATATGCACCACACACTGTTCCTGGACATGGCGCTGCCTCCAGCCTCCTTCGTACAGAAACCTTTACAATTCATGTCACATTTACACAGAAGCTCCGGCAACACTATTCGTTGATATGTTCCATCGGTTTTTTTTACCCACTGTCAATCCTCTTATTTTCCACAGTTTCATCAACTTTTCTGCTCTTATAGTTTCTTCACCTTTTTTTTTTTTATTTATCATGTCTCTGATAAACCCATCTGCCTACACTTTCATTCCCAAGTATTTAAACTGTTCGCTTCCCCTGTACTTCATCTTCCATGTCTCGCCTCCATTAGTTAGTCCTCAGTGTCTCTTAACACCTTGCTATTTTCTGCTCTAGTTTTCAGTATTCTTCTTCTTCACAAATTCTCTAACTTCTGTGTCAGTTTTTGCAGCCTCGCCAACTTTCCCAAAAATAATGCATCATCAGCAAAGAACTGCGATAATTTCCTTCGCTAATCTATAAAGATATTTAGCAATTACCATGACATCACTTGTGTTTATCTAACACTTTGTTGCCGAAATGTTTATAAAGTTTAGATACCCAGTGTCCGAGGGGTGATGATCCCTGGAACTGTCAACAGGTAGTCAGTTTCTGCTCTCATTAAATAACATTCCTTTTTCTTTTCTTCATTGAGATATACTCAGTCAGTGTAGCTCTTTTTTCTTCAGGCAGATAGTGTGTGTGTGTGTGTGTGTGTACTCACCTATATGTGTTTGCAGAGGTCGATTCATAGCTCCTGGCCCAGCCTCTTCACTGAACGCTACTAGGTCCTCTCTCTCTCTGCTCCATGAGCTTTATCATACCCCGTCTTAAGGCTATGTATGGTTCCTGTGTGTGTGTGTGTGTGTGTGTGTGTGTGTGTGTGTGTACTCACCTAGTTGAGGTTGCAGGGGTCGATTCCAAGCTCCTGGCCCCGCATTATTATTAAATATTCGCCGGTATTCTCCCGGCCCGGGCCTTTTCCAAGTGGTGGCCCGGCCTTGTCTCCCCGTCTTGGGAGTGTCTGAGACATAAGTCTCCCATGGGAGGAGGCACAAGTACCTCCTCATCTTTGGGACCAAGTGTCCCCAGGCCTAGCCACAAACTAGGCCTCTCTGGTCTGCCATCCCCGCCCCAAGGGGGCTAATGAGAATGACAGTCTTGTGAGCTGCAAGGTCGGGCTTAGGCACCTACCCTACCCTAGAAGGGCTGGGCATGGTGTCGATCTGTGTATATGTGTGTGCCTACCTGCTTGTGTGTATGTTTAAGACAGACACTAATATAAGTCCTCTCACTGTGAGCTTCATAAAAATGTTGAACATTTCCTAAGTGACTGATAATGACAATCAGTCCAGGAAATTCTTAACTGCAAACAGACTCCCATATGTCCTTCTCGAACTCAAAACATAAAAAAAATTGTATCAGGGTCCTCATGGCCAGACTCCGCCCCCCTGGGGGCTAGACTCCGCCCCCCAGAGCGAACAAAAGTCAGAGGACCCCCTAGAAGCCGCCCATCAGCGCCCCGGCTCCTCCCACTTGATGTGTGGCGCCGCCCACGTCCCCTGGCACCTCAAGGCTTGGCTGCCTCTCCCCTCACCTCCACATTACCCCTCGGGACGCAACCAGTTACCCAGCTCCGCTAAAACCCCCTCGCCGGACCCCAGTGAAGTGTTATATTAGTGAGGGAGAGCGCTACCAGCCAGTGAGTCTTGAGTCTGCGACAAAGTACACACTGAGTGGCGCGTGTTGTGAGTCCTTGCAGTGACGAGTGTGTCAGCTCCTCAAGAGTCCAGCCAGACTGAAGTAGGACTTGAAGAGTTTGAAGAGCGACCTCTCGAGAGTGTTTGCATCGCACTACCACCACCACCACCACCACCACCACCTCCTCCTAGGTCGCATGTCTCCCTTCAATCATGACTAAACGCCAGTGATACATTACTGCTATTTGTAGAGGCCCTCCTGCTCGCCTCTTGATTTCTCACTTGAGTGAGAGAGAGAGAGAGGGATAGAGAGAGGGAGAGAGAGAGGGGAGGGGGAGGGGAGAGGGAATCCTGGGAGTGACGTCTGCAGTTCCCACACACACACAAGGATACTCATTACCTGCAAACTCCTGCTTCCATACACTTACGGAAGTTTCCGCCTTGACTTCGGTGATACGCGCCTCATCACGCTGGATGTCAACTCAATAAAAATTACTCATCTACTGTTTTACACCGACAGACGTTGAAAACATCCGTTTGAGAAATCGCTTCAGCGATTTACACGTTCCGAAAGACACTTGATTCTCGAACTGACAGTCTCCAATTGGTGAATGAGCCGCGAACTGTTCCAGCGATCGGTACTGTGACTTGTGTTCCTTAGGTTAAAATATTTTTTTTTTTTATTTTGGTTGCTAGTACCGTTTGGTACCGCTAGTCTGGCCCAACTGTGGGTACTCCCTTCCCGACGGCGGTACGACTACGACCATAACTACAACGACAATTACCGCCCACACTTCCACGACGCTCGTCGGGGTCGTACGCCCCCCCGCCTACACACCATGATGATGTCTGGAGGCATGCCACCCACGGCGGGCGGTATGGGCGTGATGGGCGTGATGGGCGGGTATCTCAGCAGCGGGAGAGAGTACCTTGAGGGCGGCACCGTAGGCGTGGATCCCTCGGTGTGGGTACCGCCCTTCTGGGATGACCCGCACCTGCCCGACGCCCACCTTCACGACCCGGGTATGGCTGACGCCACCCACATGGGCGAACCCACGGCCATGGGCGACGTGGGTCCCGCAGACATCATGGACGCTTTTCCCCCACACCAACAACATGGTAAGGACCTAAATTTCTGTCTGTATCTGTCTACTTGCATGATTGTCTGTCTGTCTATCTGCCTGTTTCTTTTCCTAGCTGTCTACCCTGTCAGTATTTTTACCTGGTTGTCTACCTGTCTATTTGTCTGTCTGCCAGTCTGCCATTATGTCATACTCGTCTGTTAATAAGAAGGCGTTGGCCACCTTAAGCAAGTTATATTTTATTATTATTATTATTATTATTATTTTATTATTATTATTTTATTATTATTATTATTATTATTATTATTATTATTTATTATTATTATTATTATTATTATTATTATTATTATTATTATTATTATATTATTATTATTATT